ATTGTTGCAAAAAAACAGGCCATTTCCACCCATTTTTTTGCCTGCAGAATGCTTCTGGAGGTGGGGGAGGTGAAAAATGGGGTGCACAGATGCCCCAGAAAGGCAAAAATGGGCCTATTTTTCATCTCCCTCACCTCCAGAAGATAGATAGAGAAAGAGAGAGATAGACAGACAGACACACGCACACACACACACAGAGTTGTCGATTGTAAGCTCCTGGGGCTGAGAAGAATTGCTGTAAAACTGAGTTTCCTGAAGTGGGCCAGTAGACTCCTAAACAACTGAAAAAAATAATCTAGTAAAAAGAAAGGTCAACCAAAAGAGCAACATGCAACAAAAGCAAATAAAACACCCCTAGAAGCAAAACAAATTAAAGTTTAATTTGTGTGCATTGTTTAATGGACTGTTAAATTGGCCACACCCACCTATTCACATGACCTAGCCACGCCCACCCAGTCATATGCCCACCTGCCCACCAGTCCAGCCCCCCAACAGTCTGAAGGACTTTAAATTGGCCCCCTGTTTAAAAAGTTTGAGGATTCCTACTATAGACTATCTTAACATTTCCCCCAATCTATCCCAAGTAGAAGTACATGTGGAATTTTTTTTTGAAGATTTGTATAGTGAAAACTATTGAAGTGCTCTGAACTGAAAGTAGGCCTTTGACAATTTTCCACAAACACAACTAAGATTCAAAAAAACATTAAACTGTATCCCTGCTGTCAAACAAAAATTCAAGATTGTTTTAGCAAGGCTGTATCTCTGTATAAAACACTGACTTACAACTTTCTCAACTCCAACACTGGGAGCGCGCCAGTTAAAGATATTTGAAGAGATCCAGTAAAATCACTTTTGTTGCTGTATTTTGACAATCGACTTCTTTAAAAAAAACAAATGCATAAACCAAACTAAAGAACAATCAACTGGCTTCTAGAATTACAATTTGCTGCAGAATATAAATCACCCTGAGTTCTTAGAGAAGAGTACAATCTGATTGCTAGAAAAGAAAACTAAGTTAGTGTTTTATATTTAAGGTGCAATTCCCTTTGGCCCAACCACTGTCACCTTTCCACCAAGCCAGCCACCAATTTTCAGAAAGCTGTCATCATTTCTAACGCATTCTCGTCATTTGTTTAAGTATAGCCTGTAAACATGTAATTCAAGAAGTGGCATCATAATAACCTTAGAACAATTGTGCTGTATCAGCAAACCAAAAACTATGCTAGTGCTCCATTCCATTTTCTTGCTGGTCAGTTGAATGGCTAATGCGCCTTAAAAAAACAACCAACAACAAAATATATTTTATTTAAAAATGCCTTATTGAAAGGTCAAAGATCATTAAACCACACATATCTAAACAACTGAAAAAACAAACAGCAGGAGGAATGTAAATATAACACCACAGTTTTTGTCAAAACTGGTAGTGTTCCTCTACCATGTATGCACAGATAACTTCACTATGCAGAATAAAGTAGGTTATTCTCAAGCAAGCAATTTAATAATGATAAATTTCATTAATTAAACTTCATTACTCATATACTTCTAGCATTTTGCCGCTCACTTGCTTTTTTCCCATTCCCTTAAACATTAGGAGGAATTCTTATTGATACTCAATGTTTGTGTAGTATCCTCAATGTCTTTCTACCTCAGAATTGAACTTCCTGTCTCTCATTTCTCTTAGTAACTGGGTGCCTTCTTCATTCAGTGTTTCTGGGGAGTTTTAGGATGCATCTGTGCAAGCTTTCAACCCAAAAGGCATGACAAATCCTAAACTAAGCCAAAGTATAGTTCTGCAGTATGACATTAGCAGTTCAGGAATATGCCAGAGAAATGAAACAGGGCTGAAATGGCGAACAGGAAATCAAGGCATTGATATCCCCAGGATCTCTGCCTCAGTGCTGTGTGGGA